ACACATGTACATGATACACACCAAACCTTTAACATTGATTCTCTTTGGCCTGAGAGTTATCAGAACTAATTTCCATATCTGGCGATATTCTGTTTCACATATTTTTAATTAATATTTGATCTTTGTTATTAAAATAAGTGTTAACTTAAAAATTGCAAGATTTAGCCAATACATCTGTCGGTATCATGAAAGACATTTTAGATAGACACTGGTGTGCGCACGTGTGTATGTATAAAAATGGATATATAGATGCTTGTATGTAGGCACACATACACATTATCAGTGCCCTGTTAAAAACTTCTAATTATAAATGCATAATTTCCTTTAAATATATTTTCCACAAGTCAAACACATATACCATACATATAATTTCCTTCAAGTTACTTGTATTAGCACTTAACGGATGCTGCCAATCACTATGCAAAAATGTGATTATGCTGCCTCCCAGTGGCCATTCCAGGAATAAGTGTATATATTACCAGTTATCCAACTTTCTCAGACCCTAGAGCTACACAATTTAGGAAGAAAGAAAATGAAAAACAACAATAAAAATCACTCTAAGAGATATTGGATTCATGAGTACTAAATGATACAGTTAGGACTTGAGCTTAAGTCAGCCTAACCCTAAGGTGCATGCTCTTTTCACTACATCATAGTCCCTTAATTCAAAGCAGTGCTTTCTACTGATGAAAATGTAAATGGAGTGTTAGCATTCATAAAGATATGCCGTTCTATTAAGAGAAGTGCTTTAAATCACATGTAATAAAGATGGTTATGAGATCTGTTTGTGCAGGAAACTTTGAGGAGAGTTTGTTATTTTAAGGAATGGATGATAGATCTTCCATGATGCATGTAAAGAAGTATTTTAAAACAATGGTAATAACTAAATTTAAAAGTTCTGTACTCATTTGTTAGGAAAAGATCAGTGTGGGGTGTTTTTTTTTACTGTTTATTTATTTTTGAGAGAGAGAGAGACAGTGCATGAGCCAGGGAGGAGCAGAGAGAGATGGAAACAGAATCTGAAGCAGGCTCCAGGCTCTGAGCTGTCAGCACAGAGCCAGATGCAGGGCTCAAATCCATGAACCTTGAGAGATCATGACCTGAACCAACATCAGACACTGGTGCCCTGGTGTGTGGGTGTGTTTTTTTTTTTTTTTTTAAGTGAAGACATGTGTTTGCCATTTTTAAATGCATTTAGGGTAGTGTTTTAAAACACGTGTAATAAAGATCTTTATAAAAGTTGTAAAAAATATGACTTTCTCAAAATAAAAATAGCACAGGTAAATACATATTGTGTAAAGGTGACCATGCAGAGTGGCATGCAGTACATGACTCTGTCCAGTGCTTTCACTACATCAGTGCATTATATGACCCCCAATAGCACAATACTCAGCACAGTAAAATGTCTCTTATTACAGGCAAACACAAGGTGATCTTGGGTGGAATGACAGCCAGATTTTCAGAGACAGGCAGAAGTCTGTGGTACTAGCAGAGTCTGCCTTGTAGTAAGTTCTTTCTTGCTTATGGTTTCCTACACAAGAAACTAAGAGAGACTTGCTCTTCTGCCAGAGCCCAAAGACTAGGAAAATATGCCCTAAAGTGGGCCTCACTGTGCATCTCCCAAGAGTTTGAACTATTAGAAGATGTGGGAGAGGGGACATCTGGGTGGCTCAGTTGGTTGAGTGTCCGACTTTGGCTCAGGTCACAATCTCACGGTTCGTAGGTTCAAGCCCTGCCTCTGGCTCTATGCTGACAGCTCAAAGCCTGGATCCTGCTTCAGTGTCTGTCTTCATTTCTCTCTCTCCCCCTCCCCTGCTCATGCTCTCTCTCTCTCTCTCTCTCTCTCTCAAATATAAATAAACATTAAAAATTTTTTTAAAAATAAGATGTGGGGGACAGGGAGATGAGAGTAGGTCACTGTCTTCCAATTTATGTGCTCATAAAAGAACATGGATCACCAGATTTGGCATGCTCCCTGAGAGACGTGGTAGTCCTATATCACATGGGCTTGCTGGGTAATGGAATCGGGACATGCTGCAAGTGAGGACAACCACAAGTTCTACCCAGGAAATAGAACAATTAGCAAGGCTGGCCAGAAGGACAAGTCATTCAGTCCCTAGATAGACTAATGTCAAGCTCTGGGCTCTGCACCTCTTCTCTCTTCAGCCCTGCAAGGGAAGGCCCAGGAAAACTGCTGCACTGAGGTTCCCTTTGAGGATTCCTGGCCACTTGTCTAATGTCTGAAGTACAACTCTAGGGATGATTCTATAAAATGTATCACTCTGTTTGCCAAAAGACTGTCCTCAAACAAATTGTTTAGTACTCTATTAAGTGTCCTCTCCTTGAGGGTCCAACAGGAAATATTTGTTTGTACTCTATGGAATTATCCTGAGCAGCTGATGATTTTTACCTTTACATCCTATAAACAGATGACCCATTGGTGGTAGAAAGTTCTTTAGAACCAAAATTGACAATGACTTCCAGGCAAGCACCTAAGGTTTTTGGCACACATTTGGGGAGTGTGTATCTCAGAATACTACTTTACTATTCAAATGATATCTGGACCATGGAGAAGATTTTACACAAAAACCATAATCTGCATGGAGTTATTTTTAGAGGTTGGTAACAGTACTTTATTAGATATTTGTCTCAGTGCATCACAGGAACCCTAATTTGTTCTACACTTTCATATTTCATCTTTTTCATTAGGTCTCAAGTTTGAATAAAAATGTAAAAAAAATATAGTTTTAGCTGGAAAATGTACTAAATTTTTTATATTCCTTCCAATGTTTGGTATCATAAGTAACATAATAATAGAAATCTTTGCCCATAAAGCTTAGTCTATATTTCTAATTATTTCCTTAAGATTGACATTACATGGGAATTCCTGGATCTAAGTATATCATTGGTTTTGCAAGGCTTGACAGGGGTGACCCAAGTGCTAACCAGAAAAGCTGTAACAACAAAGGGGTGGGGGCGCTGAGACACCACTGGCCTTTTGATTAGTCACATCACACTGTCTTTGCCAAATCAATAGGTAAAATGCCATCAAATTATAGCTATAGTTCTTTCACATTAAAATTCATAACACTTTCAACTGGAACTATTTCCACATTCCAAATGTATATGACTGGAAGAGAAAACTCATTATCGACTTTGAAAATCATTAGCAGACTTCCTCTACATAAACAATGAAAAATTCTACTGCTGACAAGTTGCTCTGGTTCTCACTGTCCTCCTTCTGGGGATGACATTTGACAAGAGTAAGAAAAAGGCTATTATATGTTTAGTAATGTTGCAACCCTCCAATTTTCAAATGTGGTGGATTAAACAAGGAAATTGCTAAGACTGAATTCAAATTCCTGCTGCCTTTCTCACTAGCTATGTGACCTTGGGCTGATTATCAAACCTTTCTGAGCCTTGTTCCCTTTTTTGGTTAATGGAAATGGTGTCACCTAGTGGCCATGCTGTTTGAGGACTGAAGGACCTGTGAATTTGCCAGGTACACAGACACTCAGTAAGAGGCCCTTCTGCTACCTCTCCCCCCTCTAAACAAGGAGCCTACCTCACCACCCTGTTTGAACAATCATAGTCTTGGATCCAAATATAGTCTTTTAGTGATACAAACCAGATGTGAACTACGGACAAGGTGAGGACTAGGGATATTTTTATTCTATAAACAGAGTGAAGGTGCACAGCAGGCTCACATGGTGCCCCCACATTAATGGCATCTAATCATTCATCCCAACCGGCATCTTCCAAGATCTGGGACTCTTCACACCTACCCTCTGCTCACAAGGCTAAACAAAGTACCCTTGGATTCACTGCATAGACTACCTTTTACAAGAATGATGACCAAGGACTAATTTTCACCACTTGAGATATTTTGTAGCTTTTCAACATACTTCTCTGCATGGAAAAGGCACTGTCCTGGGGCACTGATGTTCACAATGCATGATTCATCCATGGGCATAACATGTTCAAGATCAATGTAGGGAAAAGGAAAGAGTGAGAAATGGAACAAAATGCTATGGTATGTATTACAAGCTCATTTACCAAAATCCTTATTGGACTGTTATATAAAAAAATTGCTGTCAAATAGGTTTGGGACACAATGTATCAAACATTCCTCAGGACATATGTTAGGACATGCAGCCTCAGAAGATGACAGCATCAATGTTATTTCCACTATGATGACTTCTTTTAAATATGAAGTTTATTGTGAAGAATTCTAAGTAAGGAATTTCAATAATTCTCATATAAATACATGCTGTTTTTAAAATTTTATTTAGCTTTAGTGCTTTTTAATTCTTTTGACTTGAAATAATCTTTTCTTGAAAAATACTTAGGCCCACCATGGGAACTGAAAAGCTATGAGACTTTCTTGCCAGTCAATTTATGGATTTACTCAGATGCAATGAATAATTCAGAACAACAAAAAAATGACTACTGATCATTTTAAATTAGGAATACTAAAATTTAACCTCAGCATTGGAATGTTATCAGAGCATATGAGAAACGGGCTTTTACAATTTACAAGAGTGCACAACTGCAATAAGAAAGGACCCCCATAGAGGGTTTTAAATAAAAATTTTATAAAATAAAATCTCCCTAGCTTACATTATTCTGGGTCACTCTCTCAAAGATGTTTTCGATCTTGAACCAAATAAACAAGTGGACCGATAGCAAACACATGGACCTATAGCAGTTCAAGGAAATAAGCTATATGGACATCAGTATGGGCAGGTCAAAAAGTAAAAATCACCCAAAGCACGCATATGCGCGCACACACAGCAATTTTTGAACTCAATAGGCTGCGGGACCCTTGGGGTGAGACTGGTGGCTACGTTTGCCCTGCAATGCGCCCCTGGCCAGACACGCTGCCAACCCCCCTCCCCCCCGCCCCACCCACCACTCAACCTCAAGCGCTGCACCAGGGTCTGGGCTAAGCCATCGCCACAATGCTGTGAGCGCCCTCTCCCCACGCTGTGCCGGCTCACCGCATGGTGTAGAGCAGCGTGCCATCGTCCTCCAGCCTCAGCAGCTTGTTGGGCGTGGTCATATTGTGGGCGATGGACTTCTTCCCGTTGTGAAAGAATGTGTCTGGGGTCCAGATTTTGCTGGCGAGAAGATTGTTGAGAGGGAGGCGCTGCATGGGCCCTTTAAACCGAAGCCTTTCATCTTTCCAGCTTTGTCGGAAAAACACATCTATGGTATATTCCTAATGCAAAGGAAGGCAACCAGGTGATGCCTTAGTAGAGAAGGCCCTTAGGGGAGTTGGTTCAGTGCCTATTTAGAATGATCTGGGCGGGGCCATGCCCTGAGACCTACCATTTCCGTGTCGGATACTGGGCCAAAGCTGGTAACGTAGATGTCCGTCCGCACCTGAGTGATTCGCTCTGAAACACAGACACAGGTTCCTGCCTAGGCACCGAGCTCACATGGAACCACCCATCATAGCGTATTTATGTCCTTAGTCCAGTAACCAATTTCATTCTTGGCAATCAGAGGGCTTTTATAATGTGTTTTTTAAATTTGGAGGACTAGACTAACACCAAATGAAATCAAACTGCTCCAAATTATAGCAGGAACTAACATATCCATTATGTAAGGAAAGGGTCTTAGCTCTCATTACACTTCTTGCCCCTTTGGGGGCAGTTGTGAACAGAGCAGAGAGGGATCCTGGTTGTTTGGCCTTGATTGGTCTTTAGTTTCCTCCTCCGTAAACCTGGAACAATAATTCCAACCTCACAGTGCCTAACCTCACTCTCCTACAAACAGCTGCTTTCCAAAGGGTTAGGCAATTGTGATGAGGGGATAAGATTTAAAAGAATCTCTAATCAAAACTGCAGTACTAGGTGTTTTCTGAGGAAAGGATGTGTGACTTGGGACAAGACCACTTGAAAAGGAAGACCCACTTCCTTATATGTCACCTTATATGTCATTTTGAATTGTTAGAAATTTCTATCATGAGAGACTATTATAACAATTAAAATTATTAAAATATACATGGCAATAAAAGTAACTAATAATATTGAGGGGAAATTTGTGTGTGTGTTCCTTGGGCATCACCTTGCAACACCCTGTGGTCATGAATGAGGACAATAGACTATACTACAGTCCACCATTAATAACCCCAAACCACTGGATGGTATCACCACTGACTCAGAGCTTCAGGGGGCAGGGCTTTTTCTCCCTGCATCTCATTGTGTGGTAACCATATATGTTACCACATACATGTGGTATGTTACCACATACCAAATACATGGTGTGTATTTATATGTGTGCAGGTGTACTTCTTAACTTAAGGTATGGTGCTTTCAGCACCTGTCTTCCCACTGAGATGCCTGTCCCAGCAGACAGCCCTTTTGGCTCTATGTGGTGTCCTCAGGATCCTGCTCCACAGGAGTGTGACACATCCTGGGTGAATGAGAGAATATTGTATAGCAACAACTCATTGATTCTCTACGTATTTTGATCCTTGTGGATGTGTTCAAAGGGACAGAGGCTGCTGGACACAGGAGACCCAGGGACATAACTCAGAGGGTGGAGTAAGGGGGTGTCAAGGAGGCATTGTGGACTTTTCTTTGCCAAAAAGGTAGAGAATGGCAACTCATGCTTTAAGTGAATCTCCCTGTTAGAAATGTAATAATGAAGGGGCACCTGGGTGGCTCAGTCGGTTAAGCGTCTGACTTTGGCTCAGGTCATGATCTAGCAATTTGTGAGTTTGAGCCCCGCATTGGGCTCTGTTCAGATGGTTCAGAGCCTGGAACTTGCTTTGGATTCTGTGTCTCCCTCTCTCTCTGCCCCTCCCCTGCTCGCACTCTGTCTATCTCTTCCTCAAAAATAAATAAACAAAAATGTAATAATGGAAAAGAACTACTTTTTCCTCTAAGAATGTAGTTGTTAGAGGGTCTCAAACTTACTTAATGGAGTAAGTTCAAATGCACTACATCTAAATGGACTCGAGTCAATGGCATTGCAAATGCCTGGAAACAGCACACAATTCTCAGCACAAAATTAAGCTTTGCTAAATTGAACCCAGAAAGTGCATTTTGCTATCCACTTATTTTTATCAATTTCCATGGGGTTAAAGTAAATACAATGATTAGTGAAAAGATTAAACATAATATATAAGATGGAAAGAACAATTGCATTAAACAGTGTATTTGTGAAAAAGACTTGCATCAGTACAAAAGTAGGAACTTGATTATAAATTATTTCTTAACTTAAGGTAGTGTTGGCTTTAGTAACACATAAGAACTGGTTCCTCCTTAAATGAAGCAGAATGGATGTTGGGGGGTGGGGCGCCTGGGTGGCTCAGTCAGTTAAGCAGCCGACTTGGGCTCAGGTCATGATCTCTCGGTCTGTGAGTTCAAGCCCCGCATTGGGCTCTGTGCTGACAACTCAGAGCCTGGAGCCTGTTTCAGATTCTGTGTCTCCTTCTCTCTGACCCTCCCCTGTTCATGCTCTGTCTCTCCCTGTCTCAAAAATAAACAAAACGTTAAAAAAAAAAGAATGGATGTTAGGATTATCTAAGGAAGAGGGAGTTTGCATGGAGACCACATCCCCCAGCTTCTTGTACCTAGGTAATGAATATAAAGGATGTAAGAACCTTGGCAACAACTATCAGTTTAAACTCTGGCAAAAAGCTCCTTAATGAATTGGTTGAATCACAGCAGATGTGAGCTTGAGATTGAGTGTAAGCTTTTTCTGGGGTCTAGCGGGCTGCAGCTGAGAACCCACTCACCTCCAAGGCCAGGCCGCAGTCTATTGTCATAGCCATCCAAGAGCCCATCCAAGATTCTGGTAAATATTGTGATGTTGTCATTGGTCTCATCTTTTACTGAACTGGTTGGCATTTGTGAAAAGCTTTTTAACAGAGAAACAAGAGTTAAAACTTGCATTAAGAATTTAAAAATTCTTCTCAAAATACAGAAAACAAAAACATAATATGGTGACTTGTCTTGGAGGGAAGGCACCTGAAAACAGTCTCTTCTACTAATCCAGGATATTGTTTTTCATAAATAAGCCTTAATTCTTGAATTTCCAGAGAGTGTGCTGGCTCTGGGCTGTTCGTCCTGACATCATGCTCAAAAATCCATCCTTCCCTGATTCCGAGGCACAGTGTAGCCATTTTTTTTTTTTAAACATTTATTTATTTTTGAGACAGAGAGAGACAGAGCATGAACGGGGGAGGGGCAGAGAGAGAGGGAGACACAGAATCGGAAGCAGGCTCCAGGCTCTGAGCCATCAGCCCAGAGCCC